CCGAGTAGCGCAGGCTCCCGAGTGCTGCAAATCCCCACTGCGGCTCTGCTTCCCACCAGGCGACGTACCTGGTGACACTCCCTGCAGCGCACGCTACAGAGCTGCTCTTGCAACAGGGATTTTCCGCTGGGACGGGACATCGCTCTCTAGAGAGCTCTCCTTGGCTACAGTGGGAAAGCACGAATGCTGGAGGCTAACGTCTTTCTACGCGCGCATGCACTTAAAAAGAGGCCCGAGGTCCAGTATGTCGAGCCTGGTGCTAGTTTCAGCACTCTGAGTTCTACAGGCAGACAAGCAACAGTGCTAAACCTCCGTCTATGTGTCACCAGCTGCGTCTCACCGGCTTCAGCCGGCGAAGCCCGAGCAGTGCCATGGAGAAGACATCACGGATTCTGCCTCAGGTCTTACTGCAAGAAGGGATTACGGACTCTGAGTGTGGGTCTGCTTCTTAAACCTCTGCAAAGCTATTCCACTTGTTTCTGCCAGGTAAGAATAAGAACCGTAAGTATTCAGGGAGCATGTCTGCAAAATGCCCCTAAAAATGAACCTCAGAGTTGCTGCGTAGTATGACCCATTCTTGCAATAACTTAACACGTGACAAGTGCCCAGCAGATGAGGCAAACCCAGGGCCAGCTCCAATCTTTGATTTAAACTCCCCATCCTCCTCCTCCTTCCCAGGTCACGTGTCAGTGCCAACACATTATTTTAGGTTCACAGTCTCATGAAAGCAGGACAAGTAGGAGATTGCCAAATGACAATCCTACACCTGAGAACAGCTCAGGAGGAGCAGCTCAATGTTTCCTCACCCTGCCTAACTTGTGTGGCAGAGACGGCTTCCTGATGGAATACTGAACTGTCTCCAGGGGCATCTGCCGTGCCAAGGCATATAAGCTTGTACACGTGCACTTATCACTGGGTCTGTGCTGAGAAAGCAGCTTCAGGCAGCAGTATGACTTCCTTTTTCATCTCTAGTTCTGAACCTCTCCCTGCAGTGGCTTTTAGCCTACCGCCACATTCATTCCTTAGTGAAATGCTGCTGTTAAGCAGGTACGCGACACTTAGGAGCCCACGATCTCAGCTTGGTGCTGGCGAGCAGTCATTCCTAACTCGGAGAGATGCTAAGCGCCAGAAACACAATGAAGAGCGATTCCCTTAGCAGAAAGATTAAAAGTCTGAAATACCTCTGCTTGTGTTTAAGATGGTTTATCGTAGAATCACAAAATTCTAAAGCTCATGTGAGCGATTGCTCTCCACCTGTGTAGCGCCGACACGTCGTTACTCAGGATAAGGAGGCTGTAGAAGTGCGACCTGAGCCTAGACACGAGGCAATAGTGAAGAATTGACTCCCACGAAGGGAAAGCGGGAGACAAACTGTGACAGTTACTCAGGTCTGGGCAATATCCTAGAAAATTACACTGGGACAGGCTGCCCAGAGAAGCTGTGGATGCCCCATCCCTGGGACTGTCCAAGGCCAGGCTGGATGAGGCTTGGAGCAACCTGGTCTAGTGGAAGGGGGGGCCCCCCCCCACGCGGGGCGGGGGGGG